AAGGTGTGTAGCGAAAGATACTGTCAGCCTGTTCCTGTAGGCCAGGTAGATCAGATAAGGCTGCTGAATCTCTTACCTACAGCTTCTGTTCCTCCTTCAGCCAACAAGTCTTAAATGAGCAACTGTTAAACACAGCTGCGTCTAACTAGCCCCTTGCAAAAAAGTGTGGACATTGACAGTATTAGAGCTGTAAGAAGGGAAAACCACTAAGAACAACTGGGGGATAACGGAAGGAGATAATAAAGAGATCATCAAGCTTCTATTTAAGTAGATTTACACACACACACTGGTGAATTAAAAGAACTTGCTGCAGAAATACTGATGTAACTTGTGGGAGCTGTAACTTCAAGTGCACTAATAATCCTTTGCTTGTCCAAAAGGCTAAAAATATACTCATCTCTAGCACTGAATGATGAAAAATGCATTACACTGAGTGGGGTGTTAAATACTGCAGGAAAATCTGTTCTAGTGGCCACTATGTTAATCAACATTGCTAGCATTAAGTAAGTCACAAGCCAGGTCTCTCTTACGCAGTCACACTACTGAACAGCTATGTGACATGGTCTCATAAAATAGACTTGTGTGTTGAGGGAAGAGACTAAAGCATTATAAAGTCATGTTCCATTCTAAATACATCAGTAGGATGTGGTGTCTCTCTAGTGATTAAAACAACAAAACAAAAATTCAAGAACTTTTAAAGATATTAGAATTCATTATTAAGTTTCCATTGGAAATAATTTTTATGGCATATGACTCATAAAAATCAGGAGAAGCATCTGATCACTGTGTTCAGAGCTCAGACAGAATGCCTACTTCTGGATCAGAGCCCTGCTAACAGTATGATGGAGGTGGAAAGTGACAACATGTTTTCCAGGGGCTGAAGCTGGCCCTGTTGTCAAGGCAAGCATTTACGTTCTATTTCCCAGTTGCAGACTGTTCAATGACACCAGAAAGTGGAATGTCTGGGTGGGACATGTTGGAAGAGAACCCAAAACCCCATAGGATAGATCAGTATTTTTAGATGTGAGAGAGAGATACCTTACATATAGATGATAGATGCAAACAAGAGCAAAACTTGCACAGAGGAGATTCTGCAAGGTCCTCTCCCTTTTCTGACACGTCCAAGGAATGAGCAGTACGTTACCCACAGTCTGAAAGCAGAATCACTCACCTAATGCTGTCACCACCACACTAACTGGTGCAGATGTCCTCTCCACCACCTTATGCCAGCTCCCGTTGTGCAGTGGTACCCAGATAGCTGCTTGGCAGAAATAGTAGCCAGAGTCTTCCACTTCCACATCACGTACCAACAGGTGATAGGAGTTCCTATCTACATGGCTCAGGCTGATGAGAGTTGAATCACTGACAACAGAATCCCGGTCCATGCTCAGCAAAATCTGAACATCTGACAAGGTATCATCAGGTGATGCAGAAAAATACCACATCACCTCCGCTTGGAAAATACCACTCCTGTCTGTTGTGATGTTGCATGTAAGATCCAGGGAGTCTCTTTCAGTCACAGACACATTGCTTGTTGAGATGACCACATCTAGAGCTTAGAAATGAAGAGACAAAAATTCAAACAAAAAAATACTTTTTTTTTTTTTTTTTTTTTTTTAAAAAGACCCCACTGTAAGTTAGCCAGGACTTCACATTCTATTACAGAAGCTTCTGAAGTAGCTCAGCAGCTCTACCTTCAAATGCCTCTTGGATATTGAGCTTCATGATCTATTACAAGGGAAGTACACATTATCAGTCAAGGAAGCGATGCATGATGTGGGCAGGGGGAAGAAGGGAGGGAGAACCGGGTTTTTATAACTCAACAGCAACTGGTCCATGATGGTTCTGTTCCAACCACAAACCAATTCACAACACCTTTGCACAGCAGGAAAACGTGTACAGGATTTTCCATTCTCGCAGGAGGGTCAAGGTATTTTGGGACTATGTGTCAGAAGAGAAAATGTCCACTGAAATCACTAGGAACTACATTAGAACTCAACTTGGTTTCTGCCTGAAATGGTTTTGAGCTCCTCTAACAGAACAGATTTAGATGAGAAGCAGCCACGACCACATATTGGAGTCCTGACTGACCTGAGGTGTGTTGCAGAAACATGAAATGGAAGCAAACAGAAGGTAGCAATAACTGCTTATACTGCCAGCTCCTCCACTTATTGCTGTGACCAACACACACAAGGAACTTTAAAGCAATGCCAATAGCCACTTAAAACACATTCAAGCTCCTCCACTGGCCAGTGAATATTTTTAATATACACAGCACATATGGTCACACCCAGCATTCAAACTGGACCTTCTCCATTCTGTAGGTTACCAGGCTGGCCATAGCTTTGCCAAAAGAAAGCCATGGGACAAAAGAGTCAAGACAGGCAGTAGAAAAGCTGGCCTTAGTTACTGGTGAGAGGTGAACCATGGGTGCTGGGTGTGTTGTTTGTAAACCTCAGTACAAATCAATCACCAAGTTACCTGGACACCACATGTCTTCACTTGCTCATTCCCTCATTCTACATTGCCTAAAGATTAGATTTGGATCTCAGTGCAGCATTGTTCCCACATTCTGTAATGCAGCTGCTCTTAAAGTCTCAGATGAGGCCAGTAGACAGGGCTGCTACAGCAGTGCCTCTTCTCAGATGTACAGCCAAGACCACAAGCAAGAATACAGATTCCTGCCCCAAACAGGCAGCTACACCTCTGGTGCAGATTAGCGACTTCTATGTAGAACCATGTTCTACTACATAATAGGTACCCATCTGTAAAAGGCTTCTAGGATTATCAACAGGAACAAGAGACAACCTATAAAGGCCAGAGCCAAACTAAGCAGCCACAACTATTGACAGTAAAACTCAGCAATACTCATCTCGCCACTCACCACCTGATAGCACAGAGCAGTCAAACTGAACAGAAGGTAGCACACCCCACCTGCGTGGTAAAGCAAAGTCCACTGTCTGACGAGCATCTCATCAGGACTTCCCTCACTGTTTTATCATGGGATTGGAGTCAGTAGGAAAACCTAGTTAATTTAACAGACTAATGCCAGAGCACAAAATAAGGCTCATCTGCAAGGTTAAGAGCAGCATTTCTCTAAGGAACACTTCTGTCTTCATGAAATAGTGACAGGCATTCAAAATCTGGCAGTACATGCATACAGAGGGACCCAAAGAGTTTACCCATATGTATACCTTAATGCTCCTTTTTTGGCTAAAGACATGTCTGAAGGCCTCACTTAGGGTTATATGCCTGTTGTGCAAGGCACTATTAAAAAAAAGAACATACAAGAACAAAGTCGGACCCAAAGATGTCGTGATTTTAGGAGATGAAAGTGATAGGCAAGAGGAGCAACAACAGAAAAAAGTTACACAAGTAACCTGTGCATGACTTTTTTCATTAGATACATTAATTCTTTTTTTGTTTGTTTGTTTTGTTTCTACAAATTCAACCCCATAGTTTTCAGCAGGTGAGAATGAAGGAAGTGCAGCAACCAGGCATACCATTTACAACTCAAGGTCATTTTAGCATGCAAGTGCAGAGGTTTCAGATGTCAGCACAAGATGCTCTTCAGGTCCTACTACAGGTTGTACGCGTAAAAGTTTCCACAACGTTTTGCTGGAGAATAACCTATCCCATTTAGGATAACTTTAAAAAAAAGCCTTCATGCCCCTGACAAAGTACTGATGCTGCCAATGACTAACCTAAAAATTAAGGCAAAAAAACCACCCTAAACAAAAAAAAACCACACAAACAACCCCCACACACACAACCACACCAAAATAACAAAACTGCACATCCAAACTATATATAAAAAACTGCACTACTACTGCTCCTGGCCATCCTCACCCTGTTTTCAGCCACTGATTAAATCCCACCTATTTAAACCAAACCCTCCAAAAATGAGACAAAATAGAGAATTACAGCTCTTAATTAAGCAAGCTCTGCCTCAGCAGAGAGCACCTGCAAGTTTCACTGTGTAGCAGACACCCTGAAAAAGAGGGAGAAGATTGATCCTGTCAGATTTCACAGGCTTTCACAGTACCCCCAGGATACTAACACTACACCCAAACGAGCTAGCCAAAAACATACTCCAGCAGTTCTGGGTTCTCCCTATAGTAATTAAAGGATTACAAAAATTAAAAGATACTCTTACTGTCTGAACACTTCTAAAATATCATAATCTCACATTTCTGAGAGACCATCATTGCCTGTTTTTCCACCTGTTGAATGACAAGATGCATTACCACTGCTAGTTGGAGGAGGGAAAGCAGAGGTGATGCTAATGCAATTAAGTGTTCAGTGCATGTACTCCTGAAATCTATATGGGCAGGGATATCTGCATATCCTCAGCACAGCACTACATGTATTTTTGTCTCCTTAGTCAAGCACACAATGATGTGTGTAACAGACCATTACTGCCCTAGACACTTGTCAACATGGTGGAGCAATCAGACCAGTGATCCAGTGTCAGTGATAAAAATCACTGGATAATCTGTCCTGTTAAATTATCACTGCCTTCCTCCTTTCTCTTGATCTTTCTACTCTATTTTAATAAACAACATACAGAAAAGCTTCACATCTGTCACTGAATAGCAAGCCACTTTTACAGGGAAAGTGCAGCTCTTTAGTGCTATGGGACAACCCTATGTTAATGAGAGAGAAGGGGGAAGGTTTGGGGTGCTCAGAGGTTAAATACAATGTCTAAGAAGTATAAAAACCAGAAGCAATCTGGAGTGAACCACAGCTGAGAAAATCTAGGTTTAGGCACCTAAGAGGTTCCAGTCAATGCTTCCACGCCATCATTCCTCTTCCCCCCAAAATAAAAGCTAGAAAAATTATGCCAAGCATTTTCTATAAACTCAGATGTAAACAGGCCAGCTATTCTGCTCTCAAAGTATCTCAAAGCACTGCTGTAGCTATCAGATGTGACCCCAGCCCATCAGTAATACTCACCAGTCCGTTGGATTGCCACACTTGCTATCTCCACGCTCTTCTCTTGAATCTTCTGCCACAAGCTATCTGCCCCTCTCACCCACTCGCTCACGAGACACCTGTAAGCACCCCCATCCACCGATGAGGCCTGGGATACCGATAACTGATACGTGTCATTCGCGCCCGTGTCCAAGCGGATATCTCCATTACGGTAGCGCTCTTCATAGCCAGGACCCGGCTGGAATTTGCCCTCATGAGTCAAAGACAGGATGTCCCGCCAAGTTGATCCACTTTTGATCTGCCAAGTCACATGCAGGTGAGTGTGCTCTGGTGAGGTGGTAATTGCTGAGCAGCGCAACTTGAAGGAGTCGCCCTCAGACAGCCTGAGAGACATTGAGGAACGTGCTTTTGAACCACTCACCGATAAGCCATCAGAAATCACTATTAAAAAAAAGACCAAAAGACACAAGCATCATAGAACAGAAGCAAGAAGAGAACACCTACACTGACATGTTCAGATATGAGGCAGTAAAACTACAACGGAGCAATACCTGGCCAATCATTCCTTCTTCCACACATAAATACATTCCACGAACAAGGAAATTCAGCTGAAAATCCATTAAAGGAAGGGCTCCACTTTAAACAAGCTAAGACAAGCATTCAAATTCATTTATCCTTCCCCTTGCTTTAGTTTCTCATCCAAACATCATCATTCTGGCTACTCTCATCCCGAACCATCTCGATTTTCATGCGAGTAAAAGTTAAGACACTTGAAAAAAATAGTCTCCCAAGTTATTACTGAAGAACCCTAAATGAGAGTGCAAAACTAGGGCATGGCTGCAGTATCAACTTGCTAAAGTGGAAAAGGAAGATTAACTCCTTCATGTAGAAAGATCCTTAAATGCCACTGTAAATAAGAGATAAGACAGGATGTGTTTTTTACCTGAAGTTAGCCCCTCTACCCAGAGGCTTAGGGACATTAAATATTTGCAGACATCTTCAGAAAACCCACTGCTCAGTTCTCCCGTTTTTATTTACATTTTTACTGGACAGAAAAAAAGGAAAGTGGTGTTTATAGTAAACAGCCTCTCTTCACTTCTCCTCACTTGCTTTTGCTATCATACTTCCAAATTTTCAATTTTGGGTTTAGGAGAATTAAACAGGAACAGGGAGAAGAAAAAAAAAGTAATCACAATGCTCATAAGCAAGAGAAATTCAACAATCTTAAGGGTATATATATAATCAGTATCAAAAACAAATTTAGAGCACACCTCACTCTTCAGAAATACCTTTCACTTGGACCTCTGCATCATAATTTCCCTGAACGGTGGCATCAGTGCTGGGCGTGGAGCATTTGTATCTCCCTTGGTCAGTTGGCTGGATGTTTCTAATCACAAGTTCCACAGCATCGTTGCTGCTCCGTCTCAGTTTGATATCCCCGTGGCCCACACGTTTTTGGTACTCCTCAGAGGTGAATGTAGAGTCCCAGGTACTCACTATCCGCACGAAGTCAGTCTCCCGTGAGAACTCCCAATCAAAGTTCTGTTCGCTGGGTCCATCGTAGTCACTAACACTGCAAGGGATTGCTACCTCCGTGCCCACGACTCGAATAAGAGGACCTTTGGGCACCCTCACAACACGCCCTCTGCAGAATGCTAGGCAGGAGAATAAAGAAAGAGAGAACACACAGTTAACAAAGCAATTACCAGGATAGGCATCGACTGAAAAAAAAAAAATATATATATATAGAATAAGGTTGGGCACCCCACTCTGCAGAAAGCTAGAACTAGTAAAAGCAGTATTTCCCATCAACATTTAATCTCACCAGAGCAGAAGCCCCTAAACACACCATTTTTAGTGTGGGTGATCTTTGTTTCATTGACTATTTAGTAATATATTAGGTAATGAAATACTGAGGGAGAAACAATTGCAAGGAGGAAAAAGAAAAACAAGAGAACTAGCCATAGATCCAAGGGGTAGCAGATTCTCTACTACTAGCCAAGTGCTATGTAAGATACCTAAATACCTAAACAACATTAATAAGTGGTTTTTATTGCTACAGTGAGGGCATAATCTAATCAGGCATTTGTGTAAGTCTTCTGCTGACATCAGTAGAGGGTTCGAAGTAGGAAACTAACTCTCCCCTAGCTTGAGGGCCATAAGAATGGTAATCTGACATTCTCCAAAAATGAACATAGTCACTTCTGCCCTTAAGTGGCTTCTGACACAGGTGAGCTTCCTTGCCTTCCTAATTGATTTAAAAGGAAGAACTGATTTCAACAGACACAGTTCAAGTTTGCTTGAACAGATTTCTGCAACCACACCTGTTTCTAGCATACATTTCCTCTTTGGTATAAGTCCCAGAACATGGGAGCATGAGCAGAGCAGGCACACAGTGTTCAGATGGTGTTTTCTGGGATTCTCTCGCTAGAAGGACAGAACGACAAGGGCAGCTTTCTGCAAAAGGCTGGCAAAGCAGTATGTTATGCTCCAGGCAAAAGTGGGAACCACTTAAACTAGCCAGAGGACCTGGCAAAGACGCAGCAGGAGACTTTTCTGGTTGATTTGGCTGTGTAGCCCAAAGAATAACCCCAGCAGCTGTGCATGGATTTTGGCAGGTTCTTACTTCCCAAAAGAGCAAACTGCTTTGATTCATAGATCCAACCAGAGAAATCTTTTCAGAAAGAGAGGGGTACTACCTAAACTCAGTCTCCAAACATGAACAGTCTACTGCATCCCACCAGCTCTATATCCATAGCAAAATATTTTGGCAGACAGGTAGAACAGGAGAAGATCTGAAGGACAGATCTTGCTAAAACCAAATAGGTGGCCGTAACAACATTAAAAGCAGTTGGACTAAAAGGTTGATTTGAGATACCACAGAGGTAAAGCCAATTTAAACAAATAACCCACTGACACACAAAGTCCGGCAACGCACAACTGCTCTAGTTCAGCAGCTACAATGGGAAAGCCACCAGCTAGTGACATAAACACCAATATACTTGCTGAGCCTTCCCCTCCTATCACTCTGTCTTCTTGCTGTAGATTAAGACCCCACTTGCTCAGAACCATCGTGCCAACAGGTATTCAAGTATGGGCAAAGAAGTTATTCTGGTGGAAAGAAACCACCCACTGGGGATCCTGTTCTATAGTGCAGCTTGTCCCCTCCAGAGCAGCATGGAGAAGGATGTGTTAAAGAATCAAGATTTCTGTGGCCATTTCAAAACCTACACAAGCAGCTGTACACACTGAGCATAAGTACAAGAGAAAAAGCATATTTTCATCCCCAGTTACAGTTCAGCAAACAGCTGAACCAAGGACTAAGTGTCTTTACCTCCCTGGTTCATAACTCCCAGCATGCCCTTTGCTTTGCAAGCTGCTCGCACGTACAGGCTCAGTCATAACAGTCCAATTTCCTCATTGCCATGACCTTCTGTATTCAACATTAGTACTTCATTAAACTTATTTGTAATGCAGACTGGGGTTAATCTCTTACCCCTTATATCCCTCCCAGAAGACAGTTATTATGTACCTGATCAAGTGACTGACTAGTCCTAATAAGGAAGCTGGACTTCTCTGCACCATTCACGTGTGAATTGGAGAGAAAAACCTCCACTGCTGATGTATCGTTCCACAGCCAGATGTCTTTAAGGACATCTCTCTAAACACAAGCACCATGTAATAAAATCTTTTATACAGAAAAATAACCAACATAAAAATAAAGCAAGCTGCAGGGCTCCGATACATTTCCTCACTAGGTCTTAAGTTGCAGCCCCCTCAATCCTTCAACTTATCTTCTTACAGAAAAAGTGGTAACAGCAGCAGGTAAGCTTTAAAGCACTGCCTGACAGCCAAACCAGCTTCCAGCAAACCACTGTGAGAAGTCAGCTCAGGATCCTGACTGAGGGCACTCGTCAGACGCTGACATCTCTCCAGCAAATACTCTCCTGTGACACTAAAACAGGCAGACAACACTATTCTGCATGTGTCTTCAGCTGTAGACCCACATGCCGTGCACTGCACTAATCCAATCTAGAGGTGACAAAGGCATGACTAATGTGGCAAGAGCTGCACATTTGTGTTTGAGATTAGCACCGACAGCTCAGTTTCTCTTCTTCCAAGGTCACTAGAGACCCTTTGACACTAAATGAAGGTAGAGGGTGATTAGCACCTTCATAAAAGACAACAGGCCAAAGGGAAAGATAGGGGCACAGGGACTCCTCAACGGACCTGTTCCGAGTCCATACCCCATTGCTGTACAGCAATGACTATCCCCCTCCTCACAGCACAGGCCCACAGGCAATTCCAATTTAACACAAAGTTGGAAGGAGGGCAATGGAAGAGGCTGCAGGAGAGAAGAGGCACAGCCTGTAACAGTTTGTTTTGTCCTTTACAAATAATAACATTTATTACTGCTAAGATAAGTTAGGATTCTTGTAAGGCAGGAGCACACAGAGAGAACATCACAAGATAAGAGGAGAACTTACTGCAGAGCATCTGCTGTGCCCTGCCTACAGGTAAGGAGGATCGTGCATAGGGCGAACACTCCAAGGGTGAGCTGCATTTCTAGGTGACCCAGGAGGCTCAGTATCTAGCAAGCTGCGAGTTCAGCGTTCTGCCTTTTGTCCTGCAGTGGTCAACAGCAAGAGTATTCCTTGCTACTAAACAAGGTGGTATGTTCTTTGCTGTGCATTAGGGATTAATGTTTCATGTAGCTGTAGCAAAAGGCAGAGCTACAGATACTGATCTTGGCAAGAGCTCCATTTTACTCTGGCAGATAAATGAGTAGCTTCTACAAATATTTTATTCTTGCAGTGCCCTGTGTTACTTGCGTATACCCCCTCCATCTTCCCAGAGCAACTGAAGTTCAGCTTTTACCACGAGAGCTTCAAACTCTGTAAATTTGTTGGAAACATTTCTTTTTCATGACACCTAATACATTTCACTGTTAATACAAGGTGACATGTTCTTAATGAATTCACTTGAATCCCATTTAACTGTAGAAACAGATGGAGCAGGAAGAACAGGGTATACACTAGTGACAGAAAACAACAGAACTTTGACAATTCAGTATTTTTCAGTATCACCAAGACTGCCAAAGATGTGTATTTAGTAGGAACTCAATAACTGGCTCTGTATCGTAAACTGCAATGCTGGACACCAAACTTGCCTGAGCACAGGATTAATTTCCTAAACACAAAACTTTGGGGTTTGCTTTGTTTTTTTTACAGAGTTACCAGACAGAATTGCAAGGAACTATTTTCCAAAACAAAAGGTAATGGAACCCATGCAAGGAGGCCAACACATGAAGACAATGGATGGGACTTGTTCCTCCAGCTCCTTAGACAGGTGACAGTACTACTAGGCAACACTGGTGCTTTTGCAGGGCTGGGCCAGCAACACACAAAAAGTAGGGCAATCACAGAGCCTTCATGGCTGTCGTCAAGCTCTTGATTAGAGGATTCTCCCAACAGAACACATGAAATACTCCACCAGGAACACAGGCAAAGTGTGGCTCAAGGTGGAATAATAAACTGAGGCCTGCCATACTAATAATACAGAGGGAAGATAGTCCAGACATAGCCTAGGCAGTTTTTAGCTAGTGTTTGTTCCCTAGAAATGGTCCACGAAGTACTAAAATTAATTTGTCCCATCACCTAAATGGACCATCTCATTGCTGTCATTAAATGAAATCCTTTCAAAGAGGAGAACAAGGAAAACAGATGAATGAATAGATAGGTTGTGAAGTCAATCCGAGTACATTAAATAGCAACCTGTCATTTTTAGGATAACCAAGAAAACAAGGCAGCAAAATTGTGCAGGATCTACAGAACAGGGGGTCTGTTTAAATTCTCAAAAAGCTACACAACTCCTCCAGGAAAGGGCTGGTGAGGACTTCCTCTTGCATTAGGGACATTGCTATAGATGAGGAAAGTATTTTAAGACCTTCATCTTCACACAGCTTTTGCATCTATGTATCATTTATGAAAGAACAGGATGAGAAGTAATCTGTGGAGTCGCCCACAAGGCTGAGATGGTATTATCATTGCAATGATAATACAGCTCTATCTGATAAGAAAACATGTTCTCTTAGCAGCCCAGACAATGTGGTCAACACTCTACATCCACCAACCAAAGGAAATGCAATGTGACACACAGTAGCAAGTCAATTAAAGGCAAAGAAGTAAGAGCTGAAGAATGAGTAAATTGGCTCAGACTAAGCACTCGGCCCTCTGCATGAGAAAGACTTGGAACATACAGTCCAGCTCCTCAACCAAGGCAGTCATGGGAGACAGCAACAACCTTGCTGATGCCTTTCATCTCAAAAGAGCTTTCCAAACAAAAGGTTGTTTTGTTTGCCAATTAAACATCACCATGTCCATGAAGGAAATATAGCAGCCCTTTCAAATTCACAGCAGTTTATGACAGGAAAAATATACTGCAACCAACTTTGCAAACAGTGGTAGCAATTTTCCCTCCCTGAACTCCTCCATGTATTTTCAATCTGGGCATCACTTTGATGCAGCACTGTGTAAATGAGAGGGTTGAGCAGGGACAACCCTCCTTGTGCCCCACTGGAGAATAAATGGATTCCCACCATTAAAGCTGTGCACTCTGTCTCCTATTTCTAGCAAAATCCCAAGTCTCCCACTTC